ATAATTAGCACTTACGAAACTGCAGAACGGAAATACATTTAAAACTGGCGTGTACCAAAACGTAGCAATATGAAACCTTATATAAATATAAAAATCTACATATATAAGTTTCAACTTTCTTCTTTGCTAAACATTTTTCTTGCAAATAAATACTTCTCAAATGTTCTACGTGTACCCTGTTAAACTCTAGTAAATAACACATGTAACTAGAATTTGTTTGTTTGTTGTTAAGCAAAGCTACACAATGGGATATCTGTGCGGTGCCCAACATGGGTATCGAAATCCGGTTTTTAGCCTAATAAGTCTTCAGACATACCGCTGAGCCACTGGAGGGCGTAACTAGAAAGACACTTAGAAAGTGTAATCCATATCTCACGATGTTTTCAATGTTGGCAATGATCAACCTAAAATAGATGTCAAACAACTCCTTATCCTCAAAAACGTCTAGGAATTTAGATCCCCCTCTTTTCATTTCACCTTGTTCTCGAGTTTTGACCATTTGTTTTTCAAATTTCATTTTACTACTATTAAAACGAAACTATTTGACCTTCAGTGTGACCTTGGCCTTTGAACTACAATATACAAACCTATATACATTGTTCATCGGGGATACTCAACGTTTGTAACAAAAATGTGATCAAAATCACATGAAACTTTTTTAACCTACATTCACCAAAAGTATATCCGTTGGATTTTAGAAAACACTAAACCTTTGTTCCAAATGTGATCAAAATTAGATAGAAAACTTTTGAGTTATACTATTCACAAACACACACACGGTAGTGAAAACAATACTCTCGCCATCTGGCGGGCGTGATAATGAACGTGAAGATTTATGAGTTATGAACAGTAGATAAAACCATTAATAATTCCTAATGAAATTGTTATTAAAAACACAGAAGAACGATTGTAAAATATAAGAACGAATATGCGTATATTATATGATTTATTTTAATAATGCTACTTTATTCAAATTTATGTCATTATAAACCTTCTGTTGTTTGACAGTGAGACATCATGAATAATATACTCCTCTATAAAATCAAGTAAATGAAACTAAATAAGCAAAGTAGATAAGGAACTGACCAGTTTAATACAGAAGAAAAAATAAACTACATTTATATGATACTTAAAAGTAGGTATGAGAGCTATCCATCTTAAGTATAACATCTCAATAATTTCGGGGCCCGGCATGGCCAGGTGGTTAGGGCGCTCGACTCGCAATCTGAGGGTCGCGGGTTCGAATCCCCGTCACACCAAACATGCTCGCCCTTTCAGCCGTGGGGGCGTTATAATATGATGGTCAATCCCACTATTCGTTGGTAAAAGAGTAGCCCAAGAGTTGGTGGTGGGTGGTGATGACTAGTTGCAGTTCCTTCTAGTCTTACACTGCTAAATTAGGGACGGCTAGCGTAGATAGCCCTCGTTGCGCAAAACAAACAGACAAATAAACTCAATAATTTCGAAAAAGATAAATTATTTAAAGAAATATAAAATGTGGTTCTAAACATGTTTTTTTTTCCAGGTTTTTTTCTGTGGTAAGACAAGTTCTGTAGTAACTAAGAACCATGGGTTGTGGTAGTAGTAACCACGTTTCTCAACCTTTAAATCCACCGGTGGTGAGTTGAACCATTGAAGTATATCTTTCGAATTATGATTTCGATGTGCGTATAAATAATTATTAAGAAAACATTTTACAGACAATACAGATATAACTCTGTTTTGTTTAGCTTCTTCAACCTTGTTCCAAAATATTTAGAAGTGTAAACCTTGTTCTTTAAACAGTTTTTATTATGTTGATAATGTGTAGCATCTTCTGTAGTATTCTAACTGTTTCTTTCTATCATGTTCACTATGATGTTCTACAGTATATATATATGGGATATTTTAGCACAGTAGAAACATCAATATAAAAATCAATATATTTCGATTGAATTCACCACCAATTTTATTTGAAGCTTACGGTTAACATGTATATACATATATATACAAAGACTAACACACCCTGATTCGATTTTTAGATAATAACACACGACGAGATTATTGCAACAGTAATAACCATGACTCTTAAGAGTATAATTTTTTCCCAACTATTTTATTGATAACTGGGTATTATTGTAAATTATTAGGCAAGGATAGACACGTAGAATACTGACTTTTGTAATAATATCTCGTGTTTGAACTTCGATCATAATAACTCCATTACGATGGCAGCATGTGCGGATAGGGGGAGGGGCACCCATTTATTTAAGGGTTGGAGTGGAGATTCTGGAAAGGTCCTCTAGATCAATTTACTCGTATTCACCACTGTTACGCGTCACTGAACATTAATAAATAAATAATATGGCAGCGCATTACTGTGAAACAATGACACGAATTTAGTGTTCTCGGATTTTTTTTTTAATTATTGATATTAATATTATTAACGCATTAGAAACTTCTACGTCTGAGCTACTTATTATTGTTATGTTTATCTTTAATTGTAAGTTATTTCAATTTTTGATTTATACTTTTCAAATATATATATATATATATATTATGTCAATTTGGACACTGAAATTTGGAGGGGGCACAGGACTTAAACTAGATTGCCAAGGTCTCATAAGCTCCATACACGCATGGCGCCTTAACTTTTTTGATTATCTTTCAATTTCAAGAAGCTTAAAATCCAGCGGTGACCACTACTTCTCAAGAACGTTTTAATCACTATATACACAAGGCAGGTGCCCGTAAAAGGCGTTCTGAAAAGTCACATTAGAAAATCAAAAATTTCAATATTACACATACCCGATTTTAAAATTAAAAATAGTTCATAATGATTGGTTACATTTTTAATGTTCATGATAAATTTAACCAATTGAAAGTTCTAGAGAACCAAAAAAATGAAAAATAATCAGTCACCGCTGGCTCTAAATAGCATAGCTTTGAGAAAACAGATTAGCTGAACACCTGCCTCGATATACTTGTAGGTTAATTCTTATTTTCTATCACGAAACTTGAGCATATATAATGAAACGAGTTCATGTAGGGTTAAAAATACCATTGCATTAAAGATTAGTTACAACGAAATTGTATAGTTTAAGTCTTATATAATTCACTTGGCGTCCGAAAACGAAATATCTTGTAAATTAATAATGTCTGTAATATTTTTGCATATAATGTAGCTTGCTGTAATTAAAGGTACATATATTTTAATATACTATTTTTGGGGGAAAATCAATTATAGATAATAGGTTATAAAAACAAACTACGTATTAATATCGCAAATGTTCTTAACTTTTTCTGTTTAACCTCGGTTTCAAAGATAAGCTAAATAAGTATCGACTCTTTAATTATACCTGTATATGTATCATTTTTTGAAATGAAGTCATCATACAAAAGTTGACGGTGGGTGCTGTTGGCTAGCTGCCTTCCCTCTAGTCTATCATCTCAAACTACCACAGATAGGCTTTGATTAACCTTGCGCAAATATCCGAAAATAAGCAAAGAATCAAACAAACATGTTACCAGTGCTCTAACAGTAATATAAGTTAAATTACAAAACTTTCAGAAGTTACATTACCAAAACACATATACTAAAATATATCACAAACATCAAGAGGAGTTTTGCATATCATCGAATCAACCGAACAGACTGCTCGTAAACCACTTCTACCTGTTGTTTACATTTAACAAATAATTAAAAAAATATAGTAAACCACTTGTTTATACGTACGACTTAATTTTGTTTGCTTGTTGTTGAACACAAAGCTACGCAATGGGCTATCTGTGCTATGCCAACTGCAGGTATTAAAACCCGATTTTTAACGTTACAAGCCCTCACCAGACTTACCCACTGAGACACGGTGGGGAGAAGCAGCATACGGCTATTAAGGGTAATTAAGCGATGGCTATTTTTTTGTTTCTTTTTTAGCACAAAGCTATACATTGGACTAGTTGCGCATGGATCAAACCTCGAATTCTAGCGTTATAATCCCTAAAGATTATGATTAAGCCATGGAGAAAAACTAAGCGTTTCGTAATTATTTTTTCAACGTGACCTTTCATGAAAAAATAATATTAAGAATTAAAAATTAATATTTTAAGTTTTTCTGTTTGATCTGATTAATTTAAGTATTATAATACTGTAAACTGGTTGTTTGTTGAATTTAGCGCATAGCTACTCGTGGGGTATCTGCGCTAACCGCCCTAATTTAGAAGTGATAGACTAAAGGGAAGACAACTACTCAACACCACTCACTGCCGGCTGCCCCCCAGTGGCACAGCGGTATGTTTGCGGACTTACAACACTAGAAACCGGATTTCGATACCCGTGGTGGGCAGAGCACAGATAGCCCATTGTGTAGCTTTGTGCTTCACTGCAAACAAACAAACACTGCCTACTTGTGGGTTACTCTTTACCAATAAATGCTAGGATTGACTGTCGCATTATAATGCTCCAACGGCTGAACAAGTTGTTATGTTCGGCGTTAGGTTCCGATCCCGCAACCCTCGGATTGCAAGGCAAACGCGTTAACCATTACACCATACCAGGCTCTGGAATTTACAGAAACTACATTCTTGATAATTTCATTGAATTGATGTAACAGAATTTAAAATTTATTGTTAAAGTGTCTTTATAAAATATATTATACGTTTTAAATTCTTAAAGACATATCACTAATGAAGCTTTATTCCAAATTTAATTGATAGTTACAAATACTATAATCTTTTGCGATCATTTAATTCTACTGACGAAAAATAAATTCTGATTTTGTATGCAATACTGGTAAAAATAATGGTTTAACAAAACAACTAAATCGTCAGTTCTCTAATGTTTGTCTGATGTTCTGCAGATGATAATATCGGCAATTCTTGGCTCTCTTGTTAACTATAACTAATGCCAACTACAGAAAACTTTTACTGTGTTACAGAATTAAGTTTCGGTAAAATAAAAATAATGAAAATGTCTCTGTAAAACTAACATAAACTTCATCTCTAACAGGATGCTCCCAGGAACGTGAACGATGTTGGGTCAAGCCCTTCTCCATTGGCGTTGAAAGACGAAACAATACATGTAAGCGGGTTAATTAATATACTTATCGTGATGATTATTCTTCATCTTTTTTTTTCCTTTATCCATTCTTTCTCCTTTTATTTTTTTTATATTTCATCATTTTTTTACTCCTATTTTAGTTTTCTGTGGATTCTGTTAGAGATGTGGTATTTCCGATAAAACGGTTTTCTCGTAGAACAGTCAGTTAGAGTCGCTGACTTGAGTTTCAGAGAATACGGGACTATGAAGTCAAATGGTCTCTTTAATACAGAACCGGGATCATTTAGGAGAAAGACTCAGTTCTCTAGTTTCAAAAATACTAAAAATGTTTATTCACACAAAAACTACAGTACAATAACAAAAACAAAAGGGGCAGGTGTTCAGTGGTGCATGTCGAACTGATAAGAGTAAAAGTGAATACTTTATTCACAAGGTTTTACCAGTTTGGTTTATCTCACTGTAAGTTAAACTAAAACCTGTAGAATGAAAAATCACAAAGTTAAACTTAAAATTATACCTAAATTAAGCTTGCAATTTAGAAAAACCTTATACTGATGTCTAACAAAAGAACCAAACTTCTTTAAGTTTAGTCTAACAAAACTAGTGTTAAATTTAATGTCAAATGTAAAAGCTGCACAAGTCAGTTAACTTAAATAACTGATCCACCAAAAGAAACGTAAGTTTAAAAGAAAGTTAAGTCAGCTTAAAAGTTGTTAAAATTTTTCTTAAGGAGGAAAACATTGCTTTTCATAAGAAAAAACAAAATAAACAAACAAAGCCAAATTTGCATCCTAATCATACCTCATATTCAAGAATTATGTTAATTGAGAGCTGAGCCCTAGGGCATGGCTATCCCTGACACTTATCCAGTTCACCAACAGGAAATATATCTTTCTATTTCTAGACATCACATGCTATTTTCCTTGTAAGAAAATTGGCTAACTGCCAATTAGCGATCCACATTTTGCATGTTTTCAAGACAGGGAAAGTTAAAGTGTTACTTTGGCAAGTTTATGCATCCAAATGGGATTCCTGAAAACAATAATTTTGAAAAACAAAAACCTTATAAAGAGGCAGCATGTACATAACACCGTCTTTTACTACATCTCTTCCCTCCTTTACCTCCAGGCCGATCTGACTGTCCCTAAATATAGAACTGTCAAAAAAAAAGAAACTATAGAACTCATCTTGCTTTGGTAAACCACATGTACACAAAATTAACAAACCACACACATTACTTTACAAAAACATAAATGTGGTTTACAACTCAGTTATCCCCTTTAGGAGAGAATTATCTAACAGACCACAAAACCACAAATACCTAAAAACAATAAAAAGCAATACAAAGAAAATATCCTTTAAAAAAGACAAATACATAAATACCCTTTAACAAAGAATACTAACCTCATAGTCTAACAAATTATGAATAAACCATAAAATGAAAAACAAAATGAAAATCTTTAAACACTGAAACACATGAAATATCTTTCACCATCGAAAGTTATTTATACCTTTTGACATGAAAAAACAGTAGCTCTTAAACACTCAAATAATCGTAAAAAAGAAACCAACAGAAAACATTTTACTATGAAGGTTACACTTTAGAATAACAGTTCCAATTAAATAATCAAAATAAAAACTGTAATTAATAGAACTAAGTAAATTAATAATTCTATAATAGCACAACTGTTACACAACAAAATAATTACACGTATACATCTAGGGCTCTCTCAAAAGAACTTAACTTAAATACAAATTACATATACACACTACAGAAAACCAAACCATTAAACCTAAACATATATATATATATCTGTACAAATGCATATAAAATCCTTAAATCTATATCTTAATTTAAACAACTCTAAATACATATATACATAATACAAAGGCAAACCTTTATTCTATATATATACACACACACATATAGATAACACTTTACAATAACAAATCAAAGGTGTAAACATTGAATAAATAACTACATATACACAATTATTAAATTCTTATGTACAATTAAGGCAAAAAGTTGGGGTTACTCACTTAGAAGAGCCCTGAAAGAAAACCCCCAATGTTGCAGTTTTTCTTCTCTTTAGCTCCAAGGGTCAATGAGTTTCCATGTAAATGACTGACACACTGTGCATTGTGGGTTTGGATGATAATTACTCCCTAGCTCTGTGGTCATCGCATCCAGTGGTGAGGCAGCTGGCGTTATCGTGGGATGCTCTAGAGTGAATATGGCTGAGCCTACTGTCACTGCCTTCAATTCCCATATGTTAAATGCATCATTCAGCAATGCATTCTTATTTACTGGCTCTGATAGCATAAACCTAAGTCCAACCCCAAGTGTGGAAGGCAGCATGGGTAATTCCAGAGAATCACCGATATCAAAAAGAAAGTTCTCAACACTGGCTCCATCTATGATTCTTTATCAGATTTTTGAGTTGAGTAGCAACAAAATTAAGGTATGTCAATAAGCAGGTTGAAATATAAAAAAGACGGTACTTTCAGGTTAAAGTTTTTTCTACAGGCCAGTACAATGAACTTTCTCTGACCAGTTGAAACTCTTCTTGATGTATATTTTGTATCCTGACTTTTCCTATTTAAGATCAAACTCACAAATCTTCTGGCAACTGAAAACTAAAACTAAAACCTTTTTCAAGTTCCGTATCTAAAGACTTATGTGTTGTCATGCTTAACTTACCCGTATAGCATTATATATATTACCTGCAGACAACTCATTTAATACAAGGTCTTCTAGTTCACAGTTATCATGTAACCCTAGCGCATTCCTTCCACTACCATACTGTTGTTAAACCAACAAAGCCTGGGCCCAGAAGAAGGAAATGGGGGTGATGCAGTGTAGTTATCCACATAAGTTAGCGACACCAGATCAAATACTGCTTGGAAGTTGACTTAATTGCTCATACTGTTGAAACTCAACGAGATCAACATATCGTCTCTGTCTACATCTTCCAGATACAAACTAAGTACATGAAGGTGTTAATTTTTGCCTCCAGCAATCGTGCACAGAACACATTTTTAATTCACTATGACTGCCCTTCAACTATAAATGAATGATTAGAAATTATACAGAAAACTGATTATTTTGTGAATATTTCAATCTACTGATCAAACGAAACCTAGGTTCACCAAACTTATAATTGTTATACCAGTCGCTGTTTATAAATTTCACTTTTCACAGGTAGTTTTTACCTCACTCATTTACATTCAAGCTCAATCCAACTAAAATGTTGCCAGCAAAGATTTTCAAAACACATGTACAATTGTAAGGTTTGAACCTCCATTACTCATATCCATTTCCAGTAAACCTAATACCTCCCACATGTTATAAACTAAAACATTTATACAAGCTTATATGAAAACAACAGCTCACTGTTTGTTCACATAATGCATTTCAGGCCAGCACCCACAGTTAAATCCATAACTTTATCCAACAGTTACATCTAATTCTAGTATTCTCAATCAAGTTTGTACTCTGACCGAATCATTTTATGTTCAACAACACTTATGAATGACTATATGTAGAATTTCACATCCAGCATACACATAATCACAAATGTATGTTTTCATACATGTTAGGATGTAATTTCTACACGTCATCACATACACTAATAATCTTTGACAGATTGTCTCTGGCATGTGCACCATCACCATAGTACCTTACATGCAATACTTCCATAAACTAAATGATGCTAGGTATGATTTGGTAATTTGCTGCCATCTATGAACTCAACAGTTTTGCAAGCCTCAGAAAAATATACATTTCCTAGCAGAATTGAACTAAACTAGATTATTAATACCAAAATTATGCTTGCCAGTAAGGTTATTTTTGCTGTCTCAATTTTTTATGTCAATTCACTCTCTTGATAGCACTGGCTTAATGCATTGGGCCAAAGTAAGTAGGCATTTACTTTCCACCAGCCACCAGCTATGGATCACTGAGCCACTGTCTTACCTTAACACAAGTAGATTCACTAATGTTATATGGCTTCACAAGAAACTAAAGACCAGCAACGCCAATGAAACAAGACTAATTTCCTGAAAGAACACTCCATTTACTTCCTACTTCAGGTTAGAACACAACTACACTTCCTTTTCAGTCAGTGACTCTACAAGTCAACAATTGTCCTAACTATTGGTTTGGCATTTAATTACAAAAGCATCACTTCAGCGGGTATCATTGGCCAACCACTGGAACCTTGTTGCACCTCTTCAGTTGTTCGTTATTTGGCTAATCTAACACAAACAGATAAGTACCTGTAGCAGTATCCTCAGTCTATTATATAGGGTTGCAACTTGTCATGTGTTTGACACGCTTACATATACATCATGAATTCTGGATCACATATGTCAAGAGACTGACATGTTGAAGTATTAGGCGAGAACCAGCCCATATCAGAGCTATTTTGTTTCCATGCATAAACTCATACTTGTCTGTCATCACATGGACTTGTGAGCACTCTTTTACATCCGACCTAGAATGTGAGCCATATACATAACATCTACCCAGAGAGTTGTTTCTCGCCCAAACATGTTCATGTTAGGCAAACATCCAAGAACCCAACAACTTCTGTTTGCTGGAGTGTAGAACCTCTACTTATTTGCTGGTGTTTGTGATGTCATGGCTGATTTTTTTTCTATGCTCCACACCAATGGTGCAGGACTGAACCCATCACTGTACGAGATAATTTAAACCTGTTCAATAGTTCGAGTAACGCCCTGATGACTTTTACTCTTTGCATCATGCAAGGTTTGGAGAATTTGCTCCCCTAGATGCTGAGATACCACTAGTTGCAACACAGGTTGAGTACCACATTGTGGTAATTGATAGAATTGGTATAACATGACACTGTGCACCAGCAACTACTCTTACAAATGTGTCAGACTGCATCTGCTCACACTTAGTTTTCCATCCATGCTGGTCATGTATTTTCCTGCTGCATGGGATGTAGTGCCCAGGCTAGGTCTGGACCTTGCAATTTTTTTTATCTAGGAGCTCTTTCAGAGTTATGTTTTGGTATTCATTTTTACAGTTGATTCATTACCAGTATGGGTCTGTGGTGTTACAGCTGAAACGGCTTTCAGGTCAGGATGATGCCCATGATCAGGGCATCCATTGAATAGATGTAGTCTTACCATGTAACAAGATAATCTATCTACATTTCCATGCTGCTGTCCTGGACAGTGAATTATGGTAATATCATAGTCCTGCAATGTTATGAACATAGAATCATACCTTCTGGATTTTTAAAGTTCATGAGCCATTTTAGAGATGCATAATATAGTTGGAGAATGAACTTTACCTCCAACAGATAGTGTTGGTAGTGCTTCACATAAACTACAGCTGCACGAAATTCATTTTTATGGTGCAGTATCTGTGTTTACTAACTGTCAGTGCACGGCTCATCAGTTTCTCGAAAGCGACTGGGGCATTATCTTGACCAAATGGCATAACTCTAAATTCAAACAGCCTTTCCAAAGTGCTAAAACAGTGTTCACCTTACTTTCATCAAGTTTGACTAGCCAGTATCTAGAGACCAGGTTTAGCATAATGAACCACTGCAGAAATCAACTACCAAAGTGCTAAAACAGTGTTCACCTTACTTTCATCAAGTTTGACTAGCCAGTATCTAGAGACCAGGTTTAGCATAATGAACCACTGCAGAAATCAACTACTATCTTTCGTTCAAAAAACACAAGTGCAGGTGACCATAAACTCTCGGAATGGTGAACGACATTGTACTCCATTATCCACATTATTTCAATGCTGGATATGTCCCTAGTGCTCCAGGGAAGCCTATGTAGTGTTTTTATTATTGGATATTAGGCAACAATTTGAATATGGTGACTTGTGATTTTGGTTTTACCTAATTTGCCACGTGGTCCACCTAGCACATCAGCAAGCTTCTGAGATTCAGTGCTGAGTTGAATCTAGATTTTTTTCTGTGATAATCGAATAACTTGCTAAGGTGAGCTGGGAACTGATCATTTGTATTCAGATCTTGTGCAATGGTAGTAACACTAGCCTTACAGCTGTCATCAGTTAGCACCATTTCACTTACTGCTCTGCTGACTATTTCAGAAGAGAGATGGAGCACCAATGGTCTATAGGTTTATGGTAGTTTGAGGACTGCGTCCTTTGATGGACAGATCATTATCCATGCTACTGCTGGATAGGAAATAGTGTTTCATGTGTTGATTCTATTATCGTTTGACATAGAGCCAACACACATTCAATCTCGTCAACAATAAACCATGGCATGTTCTTGTGTGAATGGAGGTATTGTGATTTTCTCTGGCAAATACACACGAGCAATTAACTGTTCCAAGGTTGGTTCTGGTCTGCATTGGAAGGTTTTCTCAATAAAACTGAGCTCGCCTGTTGAATAGGCAAAGGCTGATGAGAGTTTCTTCAGTATATTTATACCCAGTATGCTGACACCAGAACCAAGATTTACTACCACTAACTTTATGCTATGGTTTTAGGTGACCCATACATAGTCAGAAATGGGCCTCTACATTCACAATCAGATGTATACTGTTTGGTAAGACAAAGTATTTACTGGCTGTAGTGGAGATTTCACTCCAAGCACCTGATACACCATGGTACATGCAGCTCTTGTATTTACCAAGAACTCCATGACCTTTCCAAGTACTCTAAGAAGTACATACCAAGCTCAACTACGCCAATTCAGTACTGGGATAACCACTATCTTCTTTACCTCCAGGTCAGTGGCCAGACCTGGTGCAGGCTCTGTTAGTTTCCTGGAGTCTAAGCTGTGACTATACTGCCTGATGCTGGCCTTTCTGCAACTGCTTAGTAGGTGGGCAAGATGAATGGTTCTCTCAATCTTGCAAGACTAGGACCAAAATGTTCAATCAACCTAATATCATAGTACTAGCTCTAACTCTCCTTCCTAGAGTGTACTCTAAGTGAGGATAGTGGCTGTATTGGCTGTGGCACAAATAGTATAGAAGGGCCTTGAAATCCCTGTCCATTCACAGGTAACTACCTGGTTCTATCACAGAGGTTTGAAGCATTGATCGTAGGCTCATTCACGGTGGAACTTTCTCGTGTAAAGGAACAGCTGGTTGGATGAGATGGGCTGGGAGTTGTGGAACCATGACTGCTGCCACTGCTGGCTTCTTCTTCTCCTATAATCAATATGAAGTGATTACCTTGAACCTTATCACCCCAAAAACTGCTTCCATTAGGGTTAGAACGTCCTAAATCAACTGAAGATGCCTCGTTGTCTCACTTGGAAGTCCCTCGATAAATTTATCAACAAGCATGTCCTTTCAATCCACAGCTATAATTACAGGACATGCTACCACCTTCATGAAATGCAGATAATTAGTGAAGGCAACCAAGTTCTCTGAAGGACCCATAGGTCTCACCTGTTGTGGATTTTTTTTATGTTGGTGCCTTTTACCAACAAATAGGAATAGCAGTCTCACCTGTTGGTGGGACTGTTCATATTGACAGTTTTTATAAACAACTGGGCAGCTTTCCCACCTGCTGGCAAGACATCTCACATTGGTTGCTTTTGTCAGTCAACAACATTACACCCCTGAATCTCTTCACGGAAAGCTCCCACCATTCCCCAATGGCTATCTCTGGTTTTCCTACCTGTTAGTGAAACAACTGTTGCTAGTGGAGCTTTCCTACTTTTGGTTCATCTTGCCTTTCTCCTGTAGGCAGCTCCAACTAGAGTTGTGTTTGTGCTATTTTATTCAGTGAGTATCTTGGGTCCTGTAGAGACCACCTCATTCAGTCTCGAAAATCCTTGATCTCATGCTATCCCATTGAGCATTAGTCACTTAGGTACTTTTATGCAGCCTTGGCTTAACCTCAGGGGAAGAGGTTTGAAAACCATTTGAGTAGCGCTCTCCATTTCGAGTTATTGACTGCAGGGTGACATTTATCAAGGATCTTCACAGCACCAGGAAACTTTCGAAATGCCAGAAATACTTCCTTCAGATTTGGCTACACTTCCGGTAGACCTTTCTGCCCTGGCACCATATTCATCTACCTTTCACATCATAAACTTGTTGTTCTGTAGAGAAAGCCATATTATATACTTAAGAAAACCAGAGTATTCATTAGGGCACTCAAAATTCTGGCTGCTAAGTCCTCTCAAAGAGAATTGCAGTACTCCACAATGCAAATATCCTTAGTCACAGCACTAAAATTTTCCTTACTTGACTATTATGTGGTATATCCAGTAAAAATGTTTTCCCATAGAGCAGTCAGCTGTAACTTCTAACTCGAAGTTTGGAGAATGCTGGACTACGGATTATAATGACCTCTCTGAGTTACAACCAGAATCATCTAGGGATCCAATCCACTAGCTTACCAAGTACGAAAATGTTTGTGTACAAAAACAAAAAGCAATAACGAAAAAGAGGCAAGTGTTCAATGGTGTGTATGTCGAACCGATTAGAGTAAAAGTGAATACTTCATTCAAAGTTGGTGTGCCCCCACCCGTGTGTTAATTTTCAACCCATAATATGAAAACCCAAAGTAATTCTTAAAAAGTGAAAAACATTTCAATTTAAACATGAAGTTTAGCAAAGATTAAAACCAATGTCCAACAAAACAACTAAACTATTCTTACTTTAATGCAATTCTTATGATTCTAACAAAAGCTTTCAAATTGAATTTAAATACAAAACTTTTACAACTCAGTTAATTTAACCAAAGATCTTCCAAAAGAAAAATTTGAAAGAAAACAGTTAAGCTTAAACGTTTTTCAAAAGTTATTTTACAAGTTTACGTCCTAAATGCACCTAATGATAAAGACCTTTGGCCACTGATAGTTGAACTCTAGAGCGCGGCTGCTCCTAGCCCTTATCCAATTCGCTGACAGGAAAGATAGCTTTCTATTTCTGAACGTTACCTGCTATCCATCCTGAAAGAAAAACGGCTATTAACGACTTATATCTTGATTGCTTTCAAAACAGGGAAAGTGTGTTATTTCATGCAAATCTATATATTCAAACAGAGAGCTTTGAAAAAAGCTATACTTTTGAAAAAAAAAAAACTTAACTAAGGGGATTGTAGGCACATGGTGCTATTCTGTACTTCAAAATTGAATTCTTGAAGTTATGAATTTAGCTTAACAGTTTTTGTAAAATATTTAACTGGATAGTATGTGCTCAAAGTCTAATGTAAAAAGTACTTGGATGGGCTAGTGGTTAAGGCGCTCGACTCGCAACCTGTTGGTCGTGGGTTCGAATCCCATAACAAAACAAGATTTTCTTTTCAGCCGAGGGAGTGTTATAATGTGAGGGTAAATCCTACTTTTTGTTGTTAAATACTAGCCCAAGAGTTGATGGTGGGTGGTGATGACTAACTGTCTTCCCTCTAGTCTAGTCTATCACTTGTAAGTTAGGTCAGCTAACACAGATCCAATAATGTAAAAAAATATTGTGATTTATTTATTAAACGTATTTTCATTTAACATCAGTTGCACAAAACTGTATATAAGAGCAGACAGATTGGTAGATAGAGAGACGGATAGAAAGACTGATTGATAATTAAGTGGTTAGATAGACAGATAGGTAGATATTGTTTATCTTTTATGTTTGTTGACATAGGTGGAGTTATCGGTAGAGACTTTAGAGAAGTATCTTGATATGGAGAAGGAGATTCAGACGTACGAGAAGAGGCATATCATGGAGAATTACCAGGTGAAGACTGAACAGTTGGAAAAACTGGAGAAGAAGGTCCAGGAACTGGAAGAAACTCAAAAAGAACTGGAACAACAGGCGTAAGAACACTCTCGAAATAATAATAAAAAGTAAAATAGGCTGTATTCTTATGATTATTTATTTCGCTTTACGGTGGCACGTACTTCATATCATACTGGTGTTTTTAGTTTTAAACAAATGCAAATCATGTAAACTAACTAAATTATCGCAGGAAATATTTCACACATTCTTTTTATGTATTTGTTGTGAGCATTTTTTGTTTTAAGCAAAAGCATCTTATCAGCAGTACAGACAGAAAGGTTTTCTTTTTATCCATTCAAGTTTACGAGTTACATTTAGGTTGCTTTAGATACATGGTCACGGATTACGTGCTTATGAACAACCAGCTAAGCCTTGTCTTGACATCTAGATGCCATGGTCGTTGAGACTCATTTATTTATATAATTGAAATTTATGTCCTAATTATAACGTTTTATATGGAACTAAACACATTGTAATATAGTATGAGATAAAAAATTGTATGTAAATACAAACAAAAAAACTACAGATAACAAATTTATAGGAGAAACGCAAAAAAAACAAATAGAGGGACATTCAGTAGAGCGCGTACCACTGCCATGCTGCCTTGATCATAGTCAGCTTAAGAAAATACGAAAATGTGTCCGTATGTCCATCGTCATCAACAGACACGGATCATTTTTGGCAGGACAATGAGGAATAGCATTCTATACACGTCTACCAAGTTTCATCAAAATCTGACCATTACCTCCGCCACCGAAGGTGGGCGGTTATGTTTTCACCCCTGTGTGTGTGTGTGTATCTGTTTGTCAGCAAAATTTCTCGAAAACGGCTGAATGAATTTGGACGAAAGTTGGTATAATTTGGATTATGACCAAACTTAGAAGGGATTAGATTTTTCAGGGTCAAGGTCACGAAATAAAAATCCCTGTCTATTAACATGGGGACCGATTTTTGACCTATAACTCAGTCAAAAATTGACTGTATTTTGATGTAACTTGGTGGACATATGTAGAATCTTATTCCTCATTGTCTGACAAAAATGACCACTGTCTGTTGATAACGACAGACACACAAACACATTTTTCGTAATTTTTTAAGAGTCGAATGTGATCGCCTACTGAGTGTCCCTCCAGTTTTTGACTGAGTTATAGAGCAAAAATAGTGAGAAAAATCGGTCCCCATGTTAACAAATAGGGATTTTTTTGGATTTTCGTGACCTTGCTGTGACTTTGACCGTCCAAAAACTAACAATCTCTATGTTGGGGGCCTCCCAGTAGCACAGCGGTACGTCTGCGGACTTACAACCCTAGAAACCGGGTTTCGATACCGTGTTGGGCAGAGCACAGATAACTCATTGTGTTGCTTTGTGCTTATCTTCAAACAAAAAATATCTAAGTTGGGCCATAGTCTAAATGTATATCAACTTTCGTCCAAATTCGTTCAAGCGTTTTACTGAAATTTTGCTGACAAACACACACACACACACACAAGGATGAAAATATAACTTCCGCCGTGCACTATCGGTGGCTGTGGTAAAGATAGGAATAGGGTAAACATAAGCATTTTTAAACTGAATTGAGAGATTTTTCATGATGACCATACAGAGAGCACTAACATAAGTAAGCTTACGAAAAATGTTAAACAAATTAAATGCCAATAACGACAGAGGACACAAGTAAAACCAGAGACATCGCAGTGTTAGATCCAGTATTATCGTGATGTACATCTGGATATCATTTAATAATTGAAAATATCAAACATACCTATAATTCTTATGATTGATACGCATGTAATTTCTAGGCATATCATCTAGCGAACATTATCTACTAATATATATAAATGGTTAAGAATTACTTTTATTCTTTGAATATTTTTTGCCCCCCCCCCACCCTCAGTGGCACAGCGGTATGTCTGCGGACTTACATCGCTAGAAACAGGGTTTCGATACCCGTGGTGGGCAGAGCACAGATAGCCCATTGTGTAGCTTTGTGCATAATTCCAAACAAACAACAAAAAATATTATTGCCTTTCTTTCTGTATTTATTTTGACTTCTTGATGTATTTCTAATAATAATATTATTATTTATTTATTATTATGAGATTGACTTTTGACACACTTCTAGAAATAATTAGCTTTGACTGTCTGTCACACTTTCATACATCATTAGATTAATTTCTTGTCTCACCTCTGGAAACTTTTACAAAACGTAAAAATTTACTTTGTCTTTTAGCACACTTCATCTCCTGGTGGGTCAATAGTAAGTTTCAGGGGTTCGATTCTTCACGCTGTACAGAGCACAGATAGCCCATTGCATAGTTTTGCGTTAAAAATAATATTTGTGACACTTCTAAAAATAAAGAAATTCATTCTTTGTTGCACCTCTAGAATTTTTTTGAAACAATATACAAGTTTGCTTTGTCACAATTGAAAAAAACAACAACATTAAATACATCTTTCAGTGCACTCCAAGACATTTTTAGAAGATGTAAAAGTTTGCTTTGATTTTTTGCCATACTTCAAAAAATAATTAAATAAAACGTTTTAGAAGATGAAAAAGTTAACTTTGGCTTTCTTTCGCACTTCTAAAAATGATTAAGTTTATCTTTTGTAGAAGTATGTACAAGTTTACTTTGGGTTGTTGTCACACTTCAAAAAATAATTAAGTTCATTTTTTTGTTACACTTGTAGAACTTTCTTAGAGTGATATACAAGTTCATCTTGGCTTGTTTTCACTCTTCTAAAAATAATTAAGTTCATTTTTTGTTACACTTGTAGAACTTTCTTAGAGTGATATACAAGTTCATCTTGGCTTGTTTTCACTCTTCTAAAAATAATTAAGTTCATTTTTGGTGCACTTCTAGAAAGTTTTCAGAAGGATGTAAAGTTTACTTTTTCACACTTATACAACTTTTTCTAGAAAGACGTATACGTTCACCTTGGCTTTTTGTCAAACTTCTAGATATCATTAAACTCAATTTTTGCTGCACTTTTAGAACACTTTTTAGAACAATGCACTAGTTTACTTTGGCTTTCTTCATACCTCTGAAAACCAGTATGTTCAATTTTTATTGCAGCTTTAGAACTTCTAAACAATGTACGAGTTTACTTTGGCTTTTTGTCACACTTCTAAAAATCATTAGTTTCATTTTCTTGCGCTTCTAGAAACTTATAGTCTGACGTAAAAGTTCGATTTAGCATTTTGTCACGCTTCTAGAACTCGTGAAAGTGAAAAATGATATCTTGTATCACTAAGAAATAACAAGATAAGCTTTTGAGCCAGACGACAATTTTTGGTCGGATTCTATTTCCGTTTTCTGTATTAATAGTTGAGATTTTTCTGGTGAAAATAACAGAAAAATATCAAGTTTCTCATAATTCATCTGTTTTTTTATTAATTATTGTTTGTAATTAAGCACAAAGCTACACAATGGGCTATCTGTGCTCTGCCCACCACGGGTATCGAAAACCGAATTCTAGCGTTGTAAGTCCGCAGACATACCGCTGTACCACTGTGGGGCTTTATTAATTATAAAAGTATATTTTCGAGAAGTAAAAAAAAAGGGGACTTAATTTCATTTACGAGTTATTACTTTAATGTACTTTATTTTTTTAACGCTATGTTTAGGGCTGCGCTTCATGCTGCACTGGATCCCGATGATAACAACGATCAGATAAGCGTAAAACAGTTTCTCATGGAAAAGGCAGACAGTGGTCACGAACTGAGTAAAGAACAAGAAGATTTTGTGGATGCACTAAACAGACAGGTAACGTAATTATTTCAACAGCATAAAGATTACAGTGTGGCTGGTTTCAGAGGACAAAATAAAAAACATGTTTAGTCGTAACACTTTCACACGCTTCTGTTAATTGTCGTAACACTTGTACATGCTTCTGTTAATTGTCGTAACACTTGCACATGCTGTGTTAATTGTCGTAACACTTGCACATGTTTCTGTTAATTTTATTGGAAGAAACAACAGCACTTGAATTTGTTTGATTATCATTATCAGTAAGAGGCTGAGTTCATTTTCACATATTTTAATAAATTTCCGAAATTGGATACTTTGTTATCATTTTAAATTTGTGTACTTAAGTGTAGTAGGTGATTTTTGTATTATTAATTTTGTTGAATGCTAAATGATGTTTATAATTCGACTCTTTGAAAATAAATATAACACGGCCTCAATCTTCAAAATACTGCTTTTATAACTCGATAAGGGTTTTCTTGAAGATGTTGTAAGGCGAAATATCGAGTTATAATAAAGATAGTGTTCTGAAGGTAATGTCGTGTTATATTTATTTTAGAAGTAGGTGATTGGCTTAACTCTTCAAAGTCGACGACTTGGAAAGATATAGGTGAAGCTTGTTATTATATAAAGTAATTTAGTTTTCTATGGTAAGTTGTGTTTATCAGATTGTTTCTTCAGTGTCAGAACTTTAATGGTTTGATTTGTGGTTGGCCTTTTGCTTGACATTGGTGAGCAGTCATAGTAGTGTGATGATTTGTAATAAAATTGTGCTTGAGTTCGATAACCAATGGTGCTGATGTGGGCATGAAGTGGAATATTTTATTAATAGTCAAAGTTAGTGTTTAAATCTAGAATTACTGATCAAGTTTGTCAGCACATTTTTATAAGCTATATATGCATTTTTATGAGGGTATAGTCACGTTATTGAAAAACCTAAATAATTCTAAGTCATCAGTGATCAGTAAAATGCTTTAAATCAAAACCTTTAACTTATTGACTTCGATTACAGCTTTCTATTCAAAACCATGCATCCTGGCGATTAGAGTATCAAAGGTAATAATTTCAATACTTTAACTGGTATTTTGAATAGATTGTTTTAGCTATTTTCAATTGAACTGGTTACATTTTAGATGAGTAATTACTCAAAATACCAGTTAACTTATTGATATTATTACCTTTGATACTCTAATCGCCAGCACCAAGTTAAAAAGTGGTCTTAAACGTTTCTCTAGTGAGATTACTACCGCATACAAAGCGTGGTAAGTCTTTTGACATTTTTTTAGGAGATTATCAAACGAGAACTGGATAGCACAACTCAGCAGCGAGATGTCTTGAAGGAGGAAGTGGATGGCTTAGCAGAGAAAGGAGACAAACTACAAAAGTTGTACGAAGAAAGAGATGAATTGTTAGGTAACATTTTTTGCTTATCCTTTTTTCGTATTCTTGTGCAAATTTTGGAATTTTTGTGTCTTAAATGCAAAACATTCCAAATTTCATTGTTTCACAATTTGTATTTTTTAACACATTAATTTTTGTAAGAGTACATTTTGAAGTCGTTAGTGGTTTTTTAACCCTTCGTTTGCAGCTTTTGTAAATCTGCCTACCACCCCATGCGCAAAGATTCTCGAATTTTTGCGACAAGCCATTCAAAATGTTGCGCGTAAAATGCTTGCATTATATCCGCAGTTGAAGGGTTAAGGCATTGTTATTTTTGCGTAACTTCATATTAATATTTTAAGCCAAATTAACGGCATTAGTGTGAAATTGAGTTCGCACAGGTCATGAAAATCACGGGATCTCGTAAACAAACTGTTCATAACTGGGAAGCCTGGAAAATATATGTTTTTTATATTTTTTATCAAGAGGTACTGGAAAAGTCTAATCCCATCGTTTCCACCTTCCCGTTTTTATTGATGTCAAACCGTACGTACCATTGTGTTTTTCTCAGTTTCGCAAAAAACGATCTCCAGAAAATATGACTCATAAAATGGGAATTACGCTGACTTGGGAACAAACGATGATCAGTAACAAGCTTTGAAGTATTTAACACCGTGTGTGTAGGCGAATATGTTTCACATGAATATTGTTGGCTTTGAAGTATTTAACACCATGTGTAGGCGAATATGTTTCACATGAATATTGTTGGAATGGTATTGTTAACATAAAATAGGTTCACGGCTCGTTTAGCGGAAACATAAAATCATAAAATTGTTGATAGGATGAATATAATGGACGTATTCGAATTTTCCTAATTCCACCTTCAGCATAAACACTTCAGAAATAATTAAAACGTTTCTAGCGTAAGCTTCTCATCCGTTATTGTCTACAATTTGATAACAAAATAAAAGAGAAAACCCAATAGGGCCAGCCTTAGGGCAAGGTCCTAAAATCCAAGTTGCGACAGTATAATAAAATGAGTGTCATAAATCTAATTGTATTATATAATTTTGTTTGTTTATTTCTGTTGTGGAGCTGTTATTGAAGTTCTGTATATGACAGTTAAAGAAACACAGGCCATGACATTCAGGGTCAGCTGATGAAAACATTTTGGATCTCATACATTTGCAGTGAGACCAAAAATAAAACATGAATTTTGTTATCTTCAGTTTAGTTCTAGTGTGTAAATGAAAAAAAAAAAGAAAAAAAATATTAAAGGCACAATGATCTGTATCCAGTGACCGCGCGAACAGGGAGCAATTTCACCCGGACGCCACGCAAAGGTGGCGCTGTTTGGAGCTGGTCACCGATTCAGGACCAGCAAACAGTATTGCTCACCCCCCTTTCAGTGAAATAATAAAAATGTGAGATTTCATAAAAATAAAAGAGTTATCTAACTTTGAACTAGCAAATTTACGTTCTTCTGTTCGTTATGTAATTATTCTTATCGAAACTGATAATGTTCTAGAATCATTAGAGCCAGTTATTCGAAACGATTTTTGCTCATTGCCTTTTGAGAAAAGCATAATTAATCTTTCAATTTAAAAAGAGACACTCATTTTTCCATGAAATCGTCGATGATCAATAAATAAATCAACAGAATGTAAGTATACCACAGCAATAAAAAAATATTGTTCAAATAATGAAAAAAAAAAATTACATGTGACTGTGATTACTGGGTCTGGCTAATAGAAAGAACTTTATACCATTTGTTTCTTGAGTAAAGACACTAATAGCTTTAGTTTTGAAATATATTACAATAGTGTATATAATTTAATGTCTTACATAAGGCACAAGTCCTTCTTCTTCTTCTTTGTCCCCCAGTGGTACAGCGGTATGTCTGCGGGCTTCGATATTCGTGGTGGGCAGAGCACAGATAGCCCATTGTGTAGCTTTGTGCATAACTTCAAACAAACAAATCTTCTACACATGCAACATTGAGATGTAGGGTGGGGCATTTCCAACTGGGACTTGTATACAGGAAGATCTAATTTGTATCTAAACATGAACTGGGACTTTCCGAATACAGGAAGATCTAATATTTATCTTAACACGAACTGGGACTTTCCGAATACAGGAAGATATAATATTTATCTTAACACGAACTGGGACTTTCCGAATATAGGAAGATGTAATATGTATCTAAACATGAACTGGGGCTTGCCGTATACTGGAAAATCTCCTAATTTGTATCTAAACATGAAAGAATTGTATCTAGCAATCTACAATATCCAATTAGTTGGGGTCTAAATAAAGTATTAAGGAATATTTTGAGTCATTTTCAAAATACTAAATTAATCACCCAAGAAGAAAAGCAAGTCAAGAGACAATCTACAGTGTCCAGTTTAGCTGAGATTTAAACATAACACTAGGGAACATTTCGAGTAGATTTCAAAAATGCTAAACTTCCCAGCCCAACTCCATAACCTTGTGTCGCGTCAAACGTGCCACATGTGGACGTGCACTGTCGTGGAGAAGAAGAACACCTTTCCGATT